CTGATTAAAAATTGGAAGATTGCTGATTCGAGAATGAAGGTTAATCCCACATTGATGAAGATGATCAAACTAGTAATCCAATATGGTTTGTTCACTTTTCTGGGGCCCGGCATGGCCAGGTGGTTAAGGCGCTCAAATCGCAATCTGTGGGTCGCGGGTTCGAATCCCTGTCATACCAAACATACTCGTCATTTCAGCTGTGGGGGCATTATAATGTGATGGTCAATCCCACTATTCGTTTTAAGAGTAGCCCAAGAATTGGCGGTGGGTGGTGATGACTATCTTCCTTCCTTCTAGTCTTACACTGCTAAATTAGGGACGGCTAGCGCAGATAGCCCTTGTGTAGCTTTGCGCAAAATTCAAAACAAACAAACAAACACTTTTCTGTTTGCTTTAGGTATAAATCAGATTTTGTTTTTTACCCCAAGAGAATCATGTGATTGGTTGAAATGTTGGGCAGCATTCTGTGGTACTGATGGGATATTTATTGTTGTTGAAGAACACTAAGAATCATTTGGGTATGTTCAACATATCAATTGTTAAATATTTTACACTGTTTCGGATAAATGCTATTGTTAGTTATATAAGTATTATTTTTATGCATAACTTTAAAAAAGTGTTTTTGATCATGTTTCTTAGAAAAAGTTGTGATAGAGGAAATGAAATGGTGATAGGAAGTTAGTTGACCTATTGAGGTCACAGATCAATCACCTAAAAAAATGTCGGAGGCATACAGTGACTTACTAGGGCAAACAGTAAAGTGCTAAAGCAAAAAAAAATTATGGTTTAGATCAATTGATGTTTAATAAGTAATAAAGCCAAGCTTTAGGCATTGCAAAGAGTAAATTAAACTGACTATATTTTTAGTAACGAACCACTTAGGTTTCTATATTGTGATGAAAAGGACTTTACTAATTGTTATTAGTTATAAAGTATTTTAATGTATAACTTCTTAAATTATGCAAATTACTCTGAATGAAAAATTAATAATTTTAAAAACTTATCTTTTATCATGAGAAATCATATGAACAAATCTGTAGTAAAAGTAGTGGGTTATGCAAAAAGCATTAGCATCAAAATGATACTGGCTAACCAATGTGAAGAAACCTTATGAATTTTTTATATAATGTGTTTGTCTTTGTAAATTGTTACAAGTACTAAAATGTAAAAATCCATACATTTAAGGAGAAGATTTATATGGAGACTATCCTTATAGACAGTTAGGTGTGTGTTAAAACGTTTTACTTCTGTACTAGTAGGTGTTCAGCAAGCTGATTTTAGTAAGTTTCAGAAAGAAGTATTATTTATAATTGCTAATTGATTCAGTTTAATTGTTCTTTCTAAAACAGTAGAGTGGAGAAAAAATGGAGGAGTGTTTCTTATGGGCTACGAAATGTTTCGAACATTCGCCTTGAAAAAAATGCCATATAATAAGAAGAGAAGAGATCCAAAAAAGGAACTTGATCTTAAAGACATGGAGAGGAATAGTCGGCTACTGGAAGGTGAATTCTGGGATTTTTTATTTTTGTTGTACAGATTTGGTTTTTGTTTCCGTAATGCTTATACATCTTTCATAAATTATCCAATCTTATTGAAATTCCACATATTTGTTGTATGTTTATGATATGGATTTTACTGTCTTAAGTGGACAAAGAACATTTCTTTAGGACTTAAATGTTGGAAGAGTTTATCCTTCTTTGTACATAGTATTAAATTAAATATGTACTTAACCACCATAAAGTGCCATTCTTCCTTTCAATGTAAATTTTTTGTGCCATTACACTAATCTTACAGGTGTATTGCTCTTGCAAGTGGAATATAAACACTTCATTAAATTATTGATCTAAAATAATAAAATAAATTTACAAACTTGATTATTGTATGCACTCATTGTTTAACTTCAGTATCTTTTTTTTTTCAGCATCTAGACATAGCTCCTGTTTTTCCCATATCTGATTTTGTATTCCTTCTACAATTTTTATATATATATATGCCAGTTTATATGCTTTAAAATAACTTTTTTTTTCACCTAAATTTTAAATATTTGGATAAACTTAGAAATATTTCACTTTAGTCTTTTGTTTTCAGTTGCGACTGCTTTTAGCTATTTAGTAGTGCTGAAGAATAAATTAATTTTATTGGGAACTTTTTATCTTATTGGATGTTACTTTTGTAATATTTTTTCAAATTAATAAACTGTGATTTTATTTTGTTTTTAATTTTCCTTTTCACCCTATGGAAAGGTTTTATGATGATTGACAAAGGGAGAAAGGAGAAGACCTGTTTTGACATTACTTGAGTGGCCTTATCAGTCTGTAAACTTATTTAATTTTATATTAAGTAAAACAGTAGGGTTCTATCATAATATGAGTATTTTTTATTTATCATTTAATTCATTTTTATAAATAGGTAAGGTGTTCTGTGACACACTATGTAAATGAATGATGACCCAAAGGTTTATTCTAAGATAGAAGGTGTTTGTCTGTGTGTTTTTAAGCAATGATATTTTGACGTTTGACAGTAAAGGTTATTTAAAAACAAGTTATCGTTTTGAACGATTTAGAATTTGTTTTGAACCTTGCAGAAGTTTACCTAGCTGTCGTCAACCCTGGACCAGATTTAGTGATATGCGATGAAGGCCATAGAATTAAAAACAGCCATGCCAGTACCTCTGCTGCACTGAAAAGTATACGGACCAAGTAAGTGTTTACAAGTACATTAGAAATCATTTTCCAGTTCTTCTATGTTTTCAATACAGAAAATAATGTTTTTTTTTTATATAACTAGTTTTATTTTGTTGCAACATGATATCTAAAAATGGTTCATTATGTTTAAGCTTGTACAAGTAGAAAATCCACTTACCTGTAAAGAAAAATGATTATTAAAAGTTCAGTTTCCTAATTTTAATAAAACAATTATTTAAACATACCATCCTTGGTATTTAACTAAAATTTTGTAAATAAAGCTAAAACCACTAAATTTAGCTATTACTTTGCATGTGTTAATAGCTGTTTAAAATACTATTTACTGAGAAGTCTTTACATTAACTAAAAATCTGATAAAGTTAAGAGAGTTGAAGAAAGTTAAAAAAATTTAGAAAAGTTGGGAAAATTTAGACTCCTCCCATTTTTCTAAATCTCAAAATGTGCATACACCAGCAAATCCCAAACCTGCACTATTTACCAATTGCACTATAATGTTTACTATGGAGATGGGGAGTTCTGTTAGAATACTGGTGGCTAACCCAGTGGTGTGTTTGTGTATATATGTATGTATGTTTCTAGATATCGGTGAGTTTCACTCATTGGTGGACTATCATTTATAGTCTTCATGAGTAAAGCAGAAGAGTATTTCTACCCATCCCTGTGGACCCTTTGATTGAATAAATTGGGATTGGTCTGCTTTTCATAATCATTCTTATGATTCTCCACTATGTGAGAAGAGGGCAAAGCTAGTTTTCCTGGATCCTTTTTCCTGGATGGATAGCTGTCAAAAGAAAGAAGAAGAAAAAATTAGGTTTGAGCAGGTTCAGCTGGATCTTCCTCGTAATACTGGGTTTGGGATGACACTGCATTGTTCCTACAGTTGTATGTGGTAGAGGCCCTTCTTGTAAATTCCAGTTGCAAGAGGTTCTTTCCCTGTTCCTATGGTTGAGATTGGGAGACTTAGTCTGCCTTGTAATGCCAGCTATAGGATGTACATACACTGTTTTTACAGTTGAGCGAATGTTTCATGTCCTTCTCATAATTATCAATGCTTTATGTCTCTTCCCTGCATTTATGATTTCTGCTCATAATACTGGTTACAGATATTTTCTCATTCTTAGAGTTGAATTGAAGCAACGCCATGACCCTGTAATGCCGGGTTAAGTTTGTTGTACTTCTTGCTCCTACAGTGGTTTTGGGAGTTTGGCTGAAAGCTAACTTCCTCTTTGTAATTCAGGTTGCTTAACATATGATACACTGTTTACTTACAGTTGGGGTTGTTGAATATATATAACACAGTCTACATGCCCTAGCCACTATGTTTGTTACAATATAAATTGTTTTTAAACCTCACTCTCCTCATGCCAAGGATGAGTTACAGAACCTCGTCTGTCCAGTTGAGGTTGTGTATATACATAGCTCATTATGTTTATATTTACCATGGATTGCACCTCTCAGAACCAATTACACTAGTGCACATCTTTTTTTTCTGTCCATATCAGATTCATTTCCTACTTCAAGGGTGAAGAGCATACCACATACCTGTTCCAGAAGTATCCGATACTGTCTTACTTCCTCTCACATAAAGCTAGAATCCCACAATGCAAAGGTGGAGGGGCTGGGTTAGGCACACAACATGGAAACCAAGTGGAAAGAAACCATTCTGAATGAATGGGTATGCTCCAAGATAAAAACAAAGCACACTCATGGGGTACCACACTCTTAACATTTTCTTACACTGAAAATATATTTCCGATAAGTAATTACCTTCTCTCACACACTTCCCACTCTTCCTCCCCACTGCCGGTATTCTTCTTTTAGAATCTGTCAATTCTCAAAAGTGAGGATTGAGTGGGAATAGCAAAGGGAGCTAGCTGAGTCAATATAGGTGGGGCAATACTATTGGTGGAGAGTAGTCACAAAATACATACATGTTCAGAAATGGTGCAAAATTGTGGTATACAGACTTGTGCACTGATTGCAAACATTTTTAGCAATACTTAGAGGGCAGAAGAAGATTGAGATAGCTTTGTGTGAGAGGTGGTGAGTACCTACCTGAAATATGTTTCCAGTGCAAGAAAAATGTTAACTTCTTGAAAAGTTGTAGAAATTCTAAATATAAAAGTTCAATTATTAAAGTATAAATGTGTTAGTATTGATAGATCAAAATGTGTAATGAAGAGTCAGAGTAGGTGTATTTATGAAAAGTAATAATATTTTCTTTAGACGGAGAGTAGTGCTAACAGGATATCCTTTACAAAATAACTTGCTGGAGTACTGGTGTATGGTTGATTTTGTACGACCTAACTACCTTGGCACCCGTAACGAGTTCTGCAACATGTTTGAGCGTCCCATTCAGAATGGCCAGTGTCTAGATAGCACTCCACGAGACAGGAAACAAATGAGGTACCGAGCACATGTTCTTCACAGCTTATTGGAAGGATTCGTACAGAGGTTAGAAAATTAACCATTCTTTATATTTTGTTAACATTTATTTGAATTTAAAGTAACAATGTTAATGTTTAGATGAATATGTCCTCTTCATCAAGCAATGAATAGTGGCTGAGAAGTTCATCAGTGTTATTGGAGACAAAGTGTTGAATGTTTGTAGGCTGATTTCTTGAAAATGTCTTTAACAGTATGTAAGGTTGGTATGTCATTTGTCTGGTGTTCAGATTAAACATTTTTGTGAATAGGTGTTGGTTATTTTGAGCATATATTAATATCCTTTTGATTATTTCATTACCACTTACTGTGAAATTCAAATTATAAAATTGAAATCCATTGTTGTGTTTGTTTTATAAGTAGTCATGTGAAAATTATAAAAAGTTAATTGATGTATTTTGTTCTATTTTCTATTATATCAAATGCATAGATGTAATAGCTTATCTGTTAAACTGCCAGATGTTTCAGTTTGATGCACTTGTATGGTTTTTTAATGCATTGCAAAAAAGTATTGGATGAAATTGTTTGAATTATGAAGTGATCTTTCTAAAGATTATGTACCTTTTTCAAAATAGAATACTGTATTTTTACCTGTGATACTCGTATGAATTTACAGTTTTGAGTAGTTGAAAATATTCCATTGCGATATTGTTGTTTTTTTATGAAAATTAAGAATTCTTACCTTTGTCTTCTACCTTTTTTTGTAAAACTTTCCAATAAAGTTTCTATTCTATCTTCATTTAGATTAAAAAAAACACTGCTCATAGTTGCAGAGTGTTTACAATCACTGGCATATAATAAAAATTACCTTTTATCGTATCAAAATTATAGGAGAGCCAACTTTTTTTATTGTTAATTAGAATGTTTCATTTAGTATATGTAATAAGTCTTAAAACCCATTTTTCATTTACATAATTTTGTATCTTTTTGATTTTCATTGCAAATTGAAGCAATTACTTAGGCCAGTGAGGCCTAACATAAACACTGGGGGTTTTGTCATTAAAATACAACTTGATAAGTTCGATTGCAAAATGATCTCCCTAAGCCTAACAGTGCTATACCTTATTTTGTTCCATGAAAAAACATCATCTTCTATTATTGTACATTATCATTATTCAAATGTACTATAAATTAATGAAATAAGCTTTAGAAATGTGGCAGAAATTGTTTCCAAACATCTTTTCTTCTAGCAGCCAAGCAAAACTTTCATCAATTTGTTTTGATCTCTGCTGAACTGGAAGCCATATTATATTGGCTTTTATGGTTCAAATTATCATTATTTTATTAGCTGACTAGCTTATGACTTGTCATGACAACTGAGGATGAGAAACAATGATTACCTAAAATCAATAGAACTACATTAGTATTGGAGACACAAGGCTCAAATTGATGCTATATTGTTTGAAACTATTTTGATTTTCATCCTAAGGTATGAATAAGTGCAGTATTATGCTCAGAAAAAACTTCCAAGTATATTCACATACAATGATATTTTCATTCCGAATACACTGAAATAAACCCAAGATTTAAGAAAAAAATAAACATTTATGCATAAAATTAAATAAACAAAACTTTTGTATGAAGTATTATATTTTATATGTGTGAAAGAATGACTACAACTTTATATTCTATAAGTTTTAAAATCATTATTGATGCAATTTTGTCCTTGAGGCAGGGTTCACCCAGTCAGACAGCATGGAGTTAATGTGGTTAACTGTACTTTTATATTTTACTGAGTGAATTTTGACCCTATAAGTTGTCTGAACTTATACTTATGTTTTAAATTTTTAATGTATTCTTTCCAGCAATTTAGAAGATTTTGATAATTTAAGAATTATTGCTTGATGTGTTACTATGAAGTGCAAGACCACCAATATGATGTGGTAAAGGTGTCTTATTGAAAATGGTGTGCAGTATTGAAACCTCATTTTAAAGACACTTTTAGTATTTTTCATGTTTGCATTTATGTAGTTTTGCCATAAATAAAAGGTTTCTGCTGCTGATATACTTACTGAGAGGGGAGCAAAACAGAATAAAAACCTAAACTGTAAGAGAAAGAGCAGTGGAAAAGATGACCAGGTCTAATCAGCATTAAAACTTTGGTTTACTAATGTTCGTGAATAAGATGCTTGTGTGTAAACGGACCAATGATGCAGCAGAAAGCGGCATACAGCACAGATCGGGCGAGTTTCATAAACAGTATGAATATGAAAGTTTTATTAATGAATTGCTCCCAAAAAATAGTAGACAGTTAACTTTAAATGAATTTTTCTAATTTTTGTTTTAAATTGTTTTTCCTGTCTTTAATTGTTTTTAAATATGTCAATAAATGTAAAAATCCAGCTTTCAAACTTTTAAGTAATGTGTTTGCTAACCTATATGAATAAACATTACTGTAACTGCTGAATTTTTATTTCATTGGTTAACTTTATCATTCGGTTATTGTTATAATAAGTGGCATCCAGTGTAATAACTGCATTATATTTAAACTTGTTTTCTACATTTTTGTCATTATGTTTTTTTATTTGTTAGACGTGGACATTTGGTTCTGAAGTCAAGTCTTCCACCCAAGGAGGAACATGTGTTACTAGTTAGAATGACACCAATACAACGAAAATTGTATAACACACTAGTAAGGCATCTGAGACTAGGGAACAATGTCTGTAATCCTCTTAAATTTTTTGCAATTTGTTGCAAGGTAAGTTTGATGTAATTTAGTTATTAAATTTTATTGTTTTTTAAATTCTTTCATTACCTCTTGATTATTTCATCACTTGTAAGGTTACTTAAACATTTTGATACAATGCATGTTAAGGATGGTTTCACAACCCCCCACCACCATTATTCCTGTTACTGAGCACTTATTATCTTTGAGGTCAGTTAATGTTAACGACATTCATAAGTGGCACCACATCCTAACACTGGAAACAAAAAATATTAAATTTTCTGTAATGGAACATACACACAGTTTGGGTGGGAGGGTAAACGAATATATCTCAAAGTGTACTAGCACTCTATGTGGAGGAATTCAATGAAAAAAATGGCCACCAATATCAATAATAATATATAAACTCAGAGGAAGCTTATGTTCCAATAGGCACTATAAGGCTGATATGAAGAACCGTTTCTTGAGGTATACCGACTTTCTACTTTGACCCGTGACCTTACAAACTTCAGTCCATAAGACACCTCTGTGGCCAATGACCATTAATTAAATGGTTAAGGATATTAAGAGCTAGGTGTTGAAAGTGGGTGACAGAAAACACTACTTTGTTCGCTACCTCTTCCTACAAAGTAACTTTGACCATCACACAGTGTATACCATGTTTTAAGTATATACATAGTGACTTCTTAAATCTTATACTAAACTTTTGGTAAGGTAATAATGAATATACTGTAATGATATGTTATAAATAAATTGTGGGAAAGTTAGGATTTATCATAGCATCCACCCCACATTTTGTTTTTTTAAGTTCAGAACCTGGACAAAGGATGGGTACCTCAGCTTGTTGATAATAAAGTAGGTTAATTAAATTTTGAATGTAAATCTCTAAAAAGTCATGACACGTGCACTTTGACCTCCCCATAGCAAGAGTGTTAAAAGGTTTGCCATCCTGAAGATGTACTGTTTTTATTAAATGCAGTTACTCTATGAACTACCTGTATCGTTGTTCTAGTCGTAACATTTTATAAGGCTATGCATAACTACCGTTACAGATATGGAACCATCCAGATGTTCTGTACAAAGTTTTAGAAGATCAAAAGAACCAAGGAAATTATGATATAGATCTTGATTTTGAATTTGGATTGCCGGGAACAAGACAAACCAATAAACCAGGAGAAACAAGTACGTCAGATTGAATTTGTTGGTACTGGTATTGTAACTCACTTTTGCAGGTGTGCACCTGTAAGTAATCATTTGTTTACTTAGTCATAAGTTTAATTTTCGGTATTAATATGCCGAAAAGTTTAATTTTTTTTAATAAAACATATCATGTAATACATGTTTGTGTTTTTCTTTTCCACAAGTAAAGAACTTGTTTAAACCATACTGAAAGTACTTGTTTTATTGATATTGTCTGCTTATACTCATACTTGGAGAATTTCATAGATTTACTCTTTATTCATTTTTAATTTTATAAAGCATCACATATTTATAGAAAATTATATTAGGAATCACAATCTTTTTTTTTATTATTATTATTATTATTAAAAGGAATCAATTGAAAGCGGCATACTGTAACAAGCTTTCTATATTTGATGTTGATTGTTAGTGCATGATGGTAAAATACTATTCTGTTATAAAATATTATATTTTTTTATTTGACTTTCAGACTCTGTTAGAGGGAAATATGGCAAGACTCCTACTGTACAAGGAACAGGAATGAACAAGACCTCTAGAAATAATTATATTCAAGAAGTTGGTTTTGCCCCTTTTAGAGATAAAAATGACAAGATCACTTACGAATGGGTATGTGAGGTTAGTTCCAAGGAGTAGGTGTAACAATGAAGCAAATGAAGCTTCTCTGTTTTTTATGTTTAAACAAGTTTCTAAAAACCAGTTACTTTCAATAATTGTGATTTTAAATTTAATTATTACATTTTATGGTTAACTGATAATGCATTGAAGTATTCTTACGTATCAGAATACCTAAACATTTATGCAAAAAAAAAAATTCAGTTATCTTTCATATCAGGTTTTCAACCCCACAAAAATTTGTTTCGTATTCCATAACAAGGCAGAGTATGATGCAGTAATACCAGAGTTTTGGGATTTACTGGAATTTGAATTACAGCTGCATCTTACAATACCTCATCCCTGATGCTTTCAAACTTCAAAGCAAGTTTTTCTCTCTTTCAGCAGTAAAGACTTGAAATTGCATAAAGACTAGTGTTTATTTATTTATGTTACTAATTATATTCCTGCTGACGGTGGCATTACGACTTTGTTTGTTGAATTAATAAAGTTGATTAAAGTTTCAATAAATTTTCATGTATTTTATCAAAGTATGTTTCAGCACACACACATTATAATAAACTTTGAAAACAGCCTTACAGAAAATAGAAATGAACACAGAACCTGTATGTAATTTTTTAAAAGGCTGGTGTATAACTTAAGATTTTTATGGTGCAGAAATTGCAAAGCCCTTGTTACACAATTTGGAATAATGGGCTTCGCTTTTCATACTCAAAACTCGCTTATTATTGCCCTATCTCTTCAGCTTATTTTTATCTGGACTTCTGGCACTTATGCACTGTATGCATATATAAGTTTTTAATATTTACTCAGTATATGCTGTTTTTAACTTAAACATAACATATTATTTCCTGTATAGAAAGATGTGATTTTGTTCTCTCCTTTATTTTCTTTCCTTTGCTTAGTTTTGTTTGTTTATTTCTGACTTATTACCTCTAATGTTGTATTATTTTTGTTGTATATATATATATATATATATTACTTTTTATATATATATTTGGCATAATACATTAAAGGAATATTTTGTATTATCATACAGAGCATGGAACATTTATTCACCCACTTTAAATATTTGTGAGTTTTTCTCTTCTTCATCAAAGTATCTTAGTGAAGTTGAGAAAGAATTTGTGAATGAAATAGAAGCCCATTCTAGTCTTTGATTCGCTACTCCCTCTGCAGTAGAATTAATTTCACCAAATTCATGGCTAGTCAGCACTGCTTGGGAGAGAGAGGTATACAAATACATTAGGCCTTGTATTGTAGTGGAATATAAACACCATGTAGGCTTTGATGTATATTCCTTTACTTAACACTATAAATATTGGCATTGTTCATCCCGGGAAGTGTTTTCTGAATGTAGATTGTGCCCTGGCTGGTGACAGAATCGTTTAACTTCATGCTGCCAGCAACTTCCTTCTCTTGCTGTAGTGTCAGTCTACTAAACACCAATGTTTACTACCTATAAATACATAAAACATGAGAGTTAAAAAAGCTTGCCTGTAGAAGTATGTAACTGTACCTCACCCTGTATAAATGATGTTTTTTTTTGTAAACTTTGGTGTCAGTCGTAACTGTGACCCAGTTTCAGTAGTTTCAAATAACACTTCTACGTAAGTAATAATATTTGTTTACTTTTGTAGTAGTTTCTTTCAAACCTGTTTAATGAGGTTGTGTTTGGTATGTTTTAAAATTTGGCTAGATTTTCTTTGTACATTGTACATTACTATTAAAATAAATTTCACTCCACACTTAAGTTAATTTTCTGTTATATTAAGCTGCTTATTGAATGAACTCTTTTTAAATTATTATTATTTACTTCAGTGCAAAAAATCAACTTTAAGTAGACTTTACCAATACTGTAAAATTTGGAAAGTATATTTTTGTGTGTTAAACTTGTAAGTCTTATTATGGTGCTGACAGTTTTTAGCCGCAGCTCACAGAATGGCTCTGAGTTTGTTTGTTTTTTCAATTACAAACTTTTAGCTCATAGTTCTGTCATCTCTTGACCGATTTGAGATCTAATTACAGTTTTGGACTCGGGAGTTCAAACCCTTTGATTGATGTATTTGATCATGCTCAAGGTCTCATAGATTAATTTACTCTGACCCTGCCTAAAATAATTTCAAGTGCTGCAGCTATTGAAGATTCCCTCATGTTACTTCAAGTTACATTCAGTCTTAACCACTAAAATCCAGATCATCAATATTTAATATATCAATAAGAAAAACTTGAGTAGTATCTACTCATAACACAAAATAGATTGAAGGCTGATAAACTTTGAAGTGTTTTAACTAAAATCTCCATCACTTTGTTACTGAAAAAAAAAGTTTTCAATAACTTCATGTACAAACTCTATGTTTGAACTACCCCATAAACATTTCATGCAATATTGAATACATTCCTACTTACTTTACACTATGGCCCTAAATCTAATTATTTTCCTCTTTGTTTTCTTTCTGCTTCTAAAAGCCAGAAAAAACATTTATATCAGAGACAGATTTGAGTTGAACAACTTAGTTGCTCTACTTGCACTGCCAAACTGTAATATAATTGTTACCAGTGTGTTCTCATCTGTATAGGTTTAATTTCATATAAGTTGGCAGTGTTGTAACAATAATTGAACCATACTTACCAATACAGTTTTTATATATATATATACCAAGTTGTTGGGTGGTTGACTTTTTTAATGATAAGGGAAGCTTCAAATTTGCACATCTGTAGTACTGTAAGTTTTTATACTTTTTTTGTTAGGGATGAAATATGACTTACGAAAATATTTGTTTCAATTAAATTCTTACTTGTATGCAAACTAAATATCAGTTGGACAAATACTTTTAAGTTAACCAGTTTATTTTGGTTAACTGAATGTTTCCTAGTAATTCGTTTTTCATTTTCTTTTCTTAATCATTGTTATAATTAGTAGCTTGTACATTTTATAATTAAGTACCAACTACCAGTTAGGCTTGTGTCATTGTATAGGCTACTAACTATGAAAATATTACCAGTTAGACTTGAGTCATTGTATAGGCTACTAACTATGAAAATATTACCAGTTAGACTTGAGTCATTGTATAGGCTACTATATATGACAATATTACCAGTTAAACTTGAGTCATTGTATAGGCTACTACCAATGACAATATTATCAGTTAGACTTGAGTCATTGTATAGGCTACTAACTATGACAATATTACCAGTTAGACTTGAGTAATTGTACAGGCTACTAACTATGACAATATTACCAGTTAGACTTGAGTAATTGTAGAGGCTACTATATATGACAATGATTTGTATTTGATTGCCATAACTTTATGAAAAGCAATTTTTTCTCCACATTTGAGACTATTGTTTTTTGTTTTGTTTTAAGGCTAGTCCTCTCATGGTTGATTATCAGCCTAGGATCCTGGAGAACAGCTACAAGATGGAAGTTTTGTTTGCCATCATAGAACAAACTATTTGTGCTGGAGACAAACTGTTGGTTTTCAGCCAGAGCCTGTTCACACTAAACCTCCTTGAAGATTTTCTGGCTATGAGAGCTGTACCTTTAAGGTCAAATTTAGAGAAGTGGTGTCGAAATGTGAACTATTTCCGTAAGTAATAATCTCAGTTTTGTTGTTGTAATATGCATAACGTCATGGTATGTGACTTACTGATATTGGTTCAAATTTAGAGAAGTGGTGTCGTAATGTGAACTATTTCCGTAAGAAATAATCTCAGTTTTGTTGTTGTAATATGCCTAACGTCAGTGTAAGTGACTTACTGAGCTGTACCTTTAAGGTCAAATTTAGAGAAGTGGTGTTGAAATGTGAACTATTTCCGTAAGTAATAATCTCAGTTTTGTTGTTGTAATATGCCTAACGTCAGTGTAAGTGACTTACTGAGCTGTACCTTTAAGGTCAAATTTAGAGAAGTGGTGTTGAAATGTGAACTATTTCCGTAAGTAATAATCTCAGTTTTGTTGTTGTAATATGAATAACATCAGTGTATGCGACTTACTGATACTGGTTTACGAGAGTTCTCAAAAAGTGATACGTATTATACTTTAAAGAGAAATAATAGTGAAATTAATTACCAATGAAAATATTATATTGTCATTTATATTGTAGCTGTGACATGTATTGTTTTAGGATTAATGCATCCAAATTTCCCTTATATATCATTCAGTTAAGTAGATTAACAGCTTGAATTTTTTTGGGAAAAATCAGGAAGGTGTATTTCAGATACTCAGTTATTTAATACGTTTCAAATTATCTTTTGGATATCCTAATGCTCAGGTATTAGTTTTAAAGATTTGTTTATGTACAAGATCAGCATTTTCGAACTCTGTGATTGTATTCTTGCTCATTTTTTTCATCGACCTGTGAGGAACTTGAAAAGAATAATTGTAACTGTATGTACAAAACCTGCAAGCTATTTTAATAAAATAATTGTAATGTGATTACAAAATATAGCAAATGTTTCAGAAATCACTGGTGCAGTTCAAACCAGTGTCCCAGGAATTAATAGACACATTGTTGTGAAACTGTGTAGAGATAGACACATTGTTGTGAAACTGTGTATTGAGATAGACACATTGTTGTGAAACTGTGTATAGATAGACACATTGTTGTGAAACTGTGTATAGATAGACACATTGTTGTGAAACTGTGTATAGATAGACACATTGTTGTGAAACTGTGTATAGATAGACACATTGTTGTGAAACTGTGTATAGATAGACACATTGTTGTGAAACTGTGTATAGACAGATACATTGTGA